TATACACAGGCTTCTCAAGGTCGAGAAAGAATAAAAAAGAAGACAACATAACAATACCATTCGAGTTAAAACTGATGTATCATTTTGAGGATTATTCACAAATTGATTTTGGGGTTGCAAATTAATCGAACATTCTTTTAAATTGCAGATACACCCACGACGTGTTATAATCACTCGTTTGAGGTTTCAATTATTTTTTTAACAAGCCATCACTGATTTTCAAATCTCTGGATGGAAGGATCATAGTCTTTGTTATTGTTATCATTGTCCAGTGGTAACTAATTTAGGCAGAGAACCACAATATCCCAAGACATGTGAGCCAACAAACCCATGTTAATGGACTACTCGAAAGAAGAAAAAATCCAGAAAGAGAGTGCAATAGTTCAAAAATCGAAATTATTTCTTTCCCTATCAGTTATTTTTTTACCGTTTCCTTTTCTTTCATTTTCATCATATCAAAATATACAGTCAGTAAAAGGGAACTACACAAAACAGTTGACACACTGGACACCAACAATATGAATAATGAAACCTGAACAGAAATAACCCAATATGGATCTTATGAAAAAAGGTATTGTGAAAGCTGATTTACCTGAGCTCGATGTGCACAATAGTTAGTCCTTCAGAGACTTGCTTCAAGCTTGGCCTCAGCTGTAATTCTACCCAACCATCTGGCGAAGGTGCATAACGAACCATGCTTGATAAGAAATCCACCCAGATCTGCTGAATTCTAACTTGATCGCCATAGACCATTAGTGTCTTGACTTCATCTGGTATATCATGCATCAATTGCAGGCCTCTTTCTCTAAGCAATAACATTATTTGGCTAACAACAGCATCTATCACATTCCCTAGTACGAATTCTGCTTTCTCAAACTCCAGTGAACTAACACAGAAAATGTGGGCTAAAGTTAGTTGAACCTCCTACAAGGAGATGAGAAACACAAATTTAAAGATGGCAAAAATTATGCAAACTTCCAAATTATTATTATTATTATTATAACAACAATAATAGTAATGATTATTATAATAATAATTTGTATTTCAAATTGAAAATTCATTCTTTTCAAATTTACAGCTTCTGAACACATATCGCCCTATTATAAATTCTTTTTGTAATATATCGACAAATAAACGAACATTTCTTATTTTGGAAGATAGATAGTCTTTTTGTAGTCATACTAGACCTCGAGGTGAATATTTGGAAGTAACCCAAAAAATATGCCCAACGTCTGTGACAGCAATGCAAAGAAGTGAATGTCTAATAAGCTACAAAACTCACAAAATAGCAGTGCATTTGTGTTTATCATCTCAAAATCAACAAACAATCATTCTTGTCAATCAAGAAAACTGAGTTTGTTGGAGTGTCCAGTTAAAAGTCATAACTATGATTTCTTCAACCAGACTTTACGAGAAAAAGTTCCACTATCGACGTAAAGTATTAAGATACTTAGACATTAAAAAATCATACCCATGCTCAATTTTACCCAGATCAACATCCTTCATAATCCTCAACACCTGCTTCTCACAAGCAACAGACGTCTCGAGAAGTTGTCTTTGGTCCTCAGTTAAATCCATAGCTTCTAAGACCGAATTAGTGAAACGTATACCACTCATTGGATTCTTTACCTGCTGTACAATATATGCCAGCTCTTGCATCTTTGAAACACAATTCTCCGTTGTACTCTCAACCCCAGCAGCTTGCGGTAGTTCAGGACCAGTGGTCTGCAAAAAACAGAATGCCCCAACAATCTGGCCATCCGCATTCACCCTCTTATTTGCAGTCAGTAAAACTGGCACGTATTTCCCGTTTCGATCGAGAAAAGAAAATGGAAACTTCTCGGTATCCTGGCCTCCTATTGCATTGTGCAAGACCATCATTAATTTCGTCATTGCATCTAAACGCTTGAGCCTACAACAGTTTCCAAATATCTCCCCAATTAGCATCTTCCCAATTATTTCCTCCCGTCGCCATCCAGTGAGCTTCTCCATGGCAGCATTCCATTCATAGCAGCAAGTGTTCTCATCTGAAACAAATATCGGAGGAATCAAAGGGCTAGGATTGTGTACGATTGCCTTGTAATCACCTTGAATGTTAATGAACTTGTCCATGACCACTTTCTGGCTGGTGACATCCTGACCCACAAAGCAGACACCAACCACTTTTTCTGTGTAGTCCTTGCTCAAGCAAGCATTGACCATAATGAACACGGCATTCTTGCTGGCCTCAGAGCCAAATGTCCTCAACCTCAATTCCACATTCTTTCGTTCCTCACCTGCACTAGTCATGTGATAAGATCATTCACGAAGAAAAAGCTAACAAAGGATACGACATACGAGAAGGCTTAGTTTATTAAAGGACTTCCTCATATCTTTATAGTATATCCAGTCAAATGTGAATAATCCTTGATCAGCCCACCCATGAGATCTAGCCTAATTACAAAACACTTCCATCATCTTTCAAAAACTAAAAACACTTCCTTCATGGCGATACAATTTATAAAATTTAATAAATGTCAATAGAGGTCTAGTAATCCTTAGGGGTAAAACCAAGGGATTGTTTATGTAAGCAACCAAAGAACTTGATTGAACCAAACTACCTCTCAGAGCACCAGCCAGTAGCTCGGCGGCAACCTCTCCCGACTCCTCGTGGACAACATCACGAACAAATGACCTCCCTGTGGCCTCCTCAATGGAAAGCCCGGTCAACTCAGCAACTTTTGGGTTCCATCCATTCACAAGGCCATCAACACTCAAGGCAAATATCGGAGCAGTTGCAGTCTCTATCAACCTAATCATCTCCCTAGCCAAGGAACTCAGCTCATCTATTACAAATCCATCCACCTCCCCACTTCCAGCGGCCCTCACAACCACCTCCGAGTTCCTGCCATCACCATCTATAAAAGAGTCCCTCAAAATCAGTTGCAGCGAACGAATCGCGTCAATCTCGGCACTCTCCCAAGAGGAACTCCGTCTATTGACAACCTCCAGAAAGGCCTCAAACGACACGCGTGGGTGCATGTCCGAGCCGTCATCTTTGTCCCTAGGATGATGCTTGGCCCCACCCCACTTGATCTCTTTCTCTGTGTGCGATTTGAACCAAAACAGATAATCCCTTTTCGTGAAATAGGCAACGGCCATCCCGCAAACGGCGTCTCCCAGAATTTCTGCCCCCGGGTAACCAGCGTCACACAAACTATCCGTGCTCAAACCGGTCGAGTCCCCATGAATCTCCAGCAGCCATTGAATGATGTCATTTATCTGTGTTTCGGTGGGCGTGACCCCCAGAGGATAATATTTCCCCTGGTGGTATAAAGCAGCCCCGTCGCACTTGACGAGGTCCATGATGCTGGGGCTCTGCGTAACAAGCCCAGTCGGCGAATCACGAAGGAGCATGTCGCATAACAAGGTTTGTGTCCTCAGTACTCGCTTTTCGGACAATTGTGACGCTAGCTGTAACTCCATGTTGAGCTGGAGCCCAAAAGCCTGCATTACGAACTCACATGCGTAACGTAGTGGGAAAGGAACATACTTGACGGATGTGTGGTGGCCAACGACCAGACCCCACAGCTTCATGGAATTTAGACCCTTAACCACATTCTCTTCATTTCCGTTGACAAGGACTGCCAGAGTCAATGAAGCAATCGACCCCATGTTTGCCATGTACTGAGCATGGCAGCCGTGTGGGGCCCGGAGGGTGGAGCCCACCAGGCACAAAGGCTGCATCAGTGCCTCGTCCTGAATTACCTTAACAGGCTCTGCATTGCAGTTCACGATCATCCTGACCCGGTTCTGTCTGAAAAGGAACCTAGAGGCCTGAGGAATGTCAGTTGAGGGGTAGTGCAGCCCAATGTAGGGCTCGAGATCGGGCCTTCTGCTCTCGGCCACAACCTCACCGTGTTCGTCCTCATGGAACCTGTAGACCATGACCCTGTCATACCCGGTCAACTTCCTCACTTGCTCCACGACCGCATCGCACAAGACCCTGTAATCACCACTAGGGAGCGATTGCAATTCAGTAATGGCTCTTACAGCAAGCTTCTGGGACTGCACGGCCCCTACTATGGAGAGGGCCGGGTCCTCGGGCCGGGCTGGCTCCAAATCAATCACCACCCCTACGTCTATCCTGTGTAGAATTGCATAAAAAGGTTTATGTAACAGATGGCAGATCAGATAATTATGGACAATATTTTCTTATGGATATCTTTGGTATCTAGATATTTGATTTGATATGATTTTATCTCTTGTAATCTCTATATATTTTCTGTAAAATTTTTCCTACGATCAATACAACAAAATCATCTTCTTTCTATTGTCATGTTCTCTCTTATGAATTTAGCATGGTATCAGAGCCATGGTTTTTCACCACCGTTGTTCTGATTAATATATATATATATTTTTTTTTTTTCATTTTCTTTTCTTCAGTCATGTCTTCTTCTCTCCGGACTGCTCTCAGGGCACGAAAAAAAAAAAAAATCTAGTTCTTAGATGGTTCAATTCATCATCCATTAGATGGGTTCTTAGATGATTAAATCCAATTGATCAAGTCCTTTGGTCCTCTTTCCTTCAATCCTTCGGTCTTTCGTTCCTTTGGATATTAAATACAATTGATCAAGTCATTCAGTCCTCTGTTCCTTTGGTCATTTGTCCTTTTGTCCTCATGTCCTTTGGATATTAAATTGATTAAGTCCTTTGGTCCTCTTTCCTTCAATCATTCGGTCTTTCGTTCCTTTGGATATTAAATACAATTGATCAAGTCATTCAGTCCTCTGTTCCTTTGGTCCTTTGTCCTTTTGTCCTCCTGTCCTTTGGATATTAAATTGATTAAGTGCTTTGGTCCTCTGTTTCTTTGGTCCTTCCATCCTCTTATCGCTCATGATTATGTTTCTACCACAGCTCAGCTAGCAGAAATCTTCATCAAAGCATTGGGTGACCATGATTTCTCAGAATTTCTCCGCAAGTTGGGCATTCGGAATCTTCATGCACCAACTTGAGGGGGGGTGTAACAGATGGCAGATCAGATAATTATGGACAATATTTTCTTATGGATATCTTTGGTATCTAGATATTTGATTTGATATGATTTTATCTCTTGTAATCTCTATATATTTTCTGTAAAATTTTTCCTACGATCAATACAACAAAATCATCTTCTTTCTATTGTCATGTTCTCTCTTATGAATTTAGTAGTTTACCGGAAATCATCGAGTTGACCATAAGTGGATTTAGCAGCGTAATTTCTTTAGCCCTAAATGCCCTCTGCAGCATGGCGGAGCTCGAGGGTGTGAATAGCGTTCTCACGTCCGTCCCGATAGCTAAAATTTCGGGCCTCTCGAGGCTCGGGACCGACTGAGGCATTAAGCCGAGCAACCCGCGCGCGTTCTCCGAGTAGGCTATGACTCGGTAGTCCGACTCGTCGACGGCGATCGTGCAGCCGAAGGGCTGGATGAGCCCCCCACGCTGCATCTTCGACAAGTAGGCCGAGATCTCCTGCTCCGGTACGAGCTCGTTGCTCGTTCTCAAGCACTGCGTGTAATCGAAGGTTTTGCCAGGCTCTCGGGCCGCCCGCTCGAAGACGGCGTGAAGCCTCGCGTCCTCGGTGTACTGTGCCACGGTCTTGTTCACACAATTGACGAACCTGTTGGTGCTGGTATTGCGGAGGCCGTTGTGGTCGTGGCTCTGGTCGGCGGGCGGAGGTTGAGAGTCGAGGTTGTGATCGCCGGCGGGGGTCGCCTGGCTTGCCATTTTCTCGCTTGTTCGTGCTCGGCCTCCTTAATTGTCGGCTCCCCCTAAGCTCTGTAATTTGTTCAGATTTCAAAAATCAGGAATGAAATTCAGGGTGAAGCATGTGGGAATTGGGAAAGAGAGTTCTTGGACTGGTTAGACTGGTTCTTATGCGGTTATCCACAATACAGTAGGGATGGCAGCGGTTCGGTTTCGGTTCGGATATCCGCGGTTTTTGGTTCTGCGGTTTTCGGTTTTGGTTCTCAAATTTGACCCGCGGTTTTGCGGTTTCGGGTACCCGAAAGTCTTCGGTTTTGGTGCGGATCCTATATTTCGCCTGTGGTGCTCCGTTGGGTGCCCAAAATAGACGGCTCATCAAAAAGCCCACCAAAAACCCTAGCTATATAAGTGGAAATTTCCTCTCCCTCTTATCCTCTCCCCGTCTCCCGTGATGGCTTGGCTTAGCTATGTACTCTACTACCTTTATGGCTTGTACTGTACGTTGGTACTTGCTAATTTGTGACTGGTTGTCTGGTACTCTCTAAGTTATCATGTTTTATGTTGTTGTCTTTGGTGTTTTATTATAATATTTTTGGTGTTTTGGGTATCCGTTTGGTTTTTGGGTATCCGCGTGTTTTGGTTTTGGTGAAGGATTTTCACCCGAAACAGTTTTGGTTTTGGTTTTGGTTTTTAAGTTTGGGTTTTGGTTTTGGGTGCCCTGAGGTTCCATCCGATCCGAACCCGAACCGCTGCCATTCTTACAATACAGTGAGGTTTTTGTTATGCATTGTAACTTTTTGATGTGTTCATCCTAGCTAAAAAAGAGTATATATTACTACCGGACAAAGTCTCGTTACGAAATTATTTTGTCGAAATTTGTAACCGTTAGATCATTATATAACCGTTGTGGATAGTTGATCTAATAGTTATCATAACGGGACCGTAACATATTCAATTACAGTGATATAAAGATGTCGGATAAAATATCTCTTTCAGGTTTACAATAAAGAATTCACTGTCTTAGATTTTGTGTGGATATTATTATTAGGGCGTTAGATTTTGTCTTGGATCATACAAAAGTTCAAAGTGTATCCACCGTTAATTTTTTTATATTTTTAACATTTGCAATTGTGTTGACTGTTGCGTCTTTCCTAATTCTTTGGGTCAACGAACAGATAATTTTCCTACAAACTTCAAACTTTTATCTCCTATATACTTACAAATATTTATATGATGAAGTCATTCATCACTTTATATACTGACATATGTCCAATGTGCATTTATTGTAAGACACGTGTCGATAAATATTTGTTAATAACTATAAATGACTCAATAAGCTGAGTCATATGATAGAAGATTTCTTCTAATACGACTTCTCAGACAAAGCACAGAAGAAAGGGATTATGACTCTACAGCAAAACCGTATACTTATGAGAAATCATCCATCAATCCTAATAAGTCTAACTAAAAATTTAAATGTAGCAAATTGCAAGATCATGACAATAAATATAGAATTTTATGGGATATTATGAGATATTATGGGATATTATGCCACCCATTAGGTCGTGTACGCCTGACGTCAAACTATTTTAGAATTTTAAAAATACTAGTAAATATAGATAGAATAAAAATCTTCATTTAATTAAAAAACTAGTACAACACCTGTGTATTACACGAGTGTTTGCTAATTTTTTTTAAATCTAAAATTAATGAGAAAAAATAGTTTGAAAATTTAAATACCTTTTATAAAATTATATATATTATTATATATTTATTATGACACTTTTTATTTGTGCAACTTACTTGTGTTATATTATACTATTTTTTTAACTTACAATATATAACTACATTACATATAAATATATCAATTGAGAAATAATTTTATTTTTCAAAACAATATGGATGTCAAATCGAAGATCATCAAAAAATGATTAATTTGATATATTATATATGTAAAACCGATAAGAAATACAAAAGTTATCAACTTTTAAAATACATTTATAATTTAATAGCTTATTGAAAGAAACAAATCAACATTCAGGGATATATTAGTCACTTAGTGTCTCACTATGTAAAATTACAAAAAATTAAAGTGTTATATTAGTAAAAGTGATTAAAATAGCTAAGTTAGCTAAATAATATTTATGGAATACCCGAACCTAGATTATTAATTATTAATATATCAATATTATTTATCCAAACCTAATTACGAAGCATGATTCTTTGCCAAATAGGATTCCGAAGCAACCACGTAGGCTCAGCGCATTCGGGAATTATATATAGGGAGGATATATAGAGAGGATGTTATTATTTTTCAATTAATATTGGTATATAATTTTGTTTTATCATAAAGGTAAATATACATATTTTTTTTATATAATTCCATGATAAATAATATTATCATTGTCCACTAATATTGACATGTAATTTAATTTTTATCATAAAACTAAATAGATAATTTATTTATATGTACAACATTGATGTCAAATCCAAAATCATTATGAGAAGATTAACTTACATATCATATATAATAATTTCATAAATATGCCAAAGTTATTAACTTTTGAAATATATTTGTTGTTCAAATATTTTATGATTTTAAGAGAAGTCAAGTCCATCTACATGTAGTGCTCCCAAACACATAGGAATTTGACACATGTAGATTATATTAGTGATATAGCCATACTATCGTGCCACGGTTCAGTAACCGCGGCATGGTCACAATCGGCTCATAGCGGTTCATATCATCTAGGTTCGGAACTGCCAAAGTCGACTATAACACAGTCGACTCCGCCGGTAGGGTTTCATGGTATTCAATCAAGAGGCCCGGCTCTCGACCGAGTCGACATATATCCGTCGACTGGAACGAGTCGACATATGCCCCGATAGCGATCAGACGAATCAGGGTCCATTAATGATGGAATGCGATCCAGTCGACTCGGTTCGATACCTCAAGTCGACTGAAGGAGTCTTGCAGTTCGAGGTGCCCGATAGCTTTGACACACCTCCGCATATTGAAGGAAAGTTAAGGATAAGAAGGAAGCTAAGGAAGGATCTAGATGCTAACTAGGAAGTAGGCTGAATATGAACCGACCGGGGTATTCTGGACATTTCCCTTAAGTCGGCCAGGGCATTTTGGGGACTTCAGGTATATATTGTACTCCTATATAAAGGACTGAGGTAATCCCAAAACCCTAACTCCCATTCATTCCATACATTTCTATTACTGCTGCTGCTCTGATAGCAGCTCCCATCATCTCTCTCACATACTGACTTGAGCGTCGGAGGCTCTACGCCGGAAAAACCCTCCGGCGTTGAGTTCTTGCAGGTGTTCGTACGATTCAGCAACGGCTCGAAGGTCATCAGGCCAGATCTAAGCTCGTTCATACCGGTTCATCCCAGATCCGGACGTTTTCTTACCAAACCGTTCCAGATCTGAGAGCAGACCCATCAATTAGAAAGCACCAAAATTCAACATTTAAAATATTCTATTGTATTTAAATTAGATATTCTTTAATATAAATAAAAAATTTCATAATTTAAATATGACAATAAATTAGTTACATAAAAATTAAATACTGTATTCCTTACACAATACAATAGTGCTCCCCTACCCACGGTGGACACATGTTAATATGCTCACCGCGTATGTGGCATGTACACATTGGTGAAGTATTTTTTTGAACATATTAACATCACTAATGTGTGCATGCCACATAAGCAGTTGACATATTAATATGTGCCCACCATGGATAGAAGAGCATTACTGTTACACAATAACGTTAAATGGTATCTTGCAGAACAAGATTTGTATAATTTTGATTAAATTTTGACGCATATCAGTAAACTATTATCGACGTTTCAAATCTTATATATAATTTTAACTAAATTGAATTTTAACTAAATTACGCATGTCAGTAAACTTTAATCGACGTTTCAAACCTTATATATAATTTTAACTAAATAAACTTTAATAGACATTTAAAACCTTGACTATAATTTTAATTCAATTTTAACTAAATAAACTTTAATTGACATTTCAAACCTTATATAAAATTTTAATTAAATTTTAACCAATCACACTACACCAACCCTTATCACATAAAGATAACAGTACGACATGTGACACTTTCATCTTTATTTATTGTTTCAGTCACACTACACCAACACTTATCACATATAAAGATTACTAGTTGGTTTACCGACTGTGCACGCACAGCCGGCCTATATCCAGTCTAGACATGGCTACGAGTTGACCCGGCCCGCCGAACCGGCCCGAACCCGGACCGAACCCGGCCCGGACCGGCCCGGACCCGCCCCGGAAAATCCGATTTTCGAACCGGAACCGGCCTTGTGGAGGGCCGGTCCCGGGCCTCCTTCGATCCAAAAAAAAACGGGCGGGCCGGTCCGGGTTCGGGCCGGGTTCGCGGGTTTTGAGCTGCCGATTTTTTTAAAAAAATTGGCCGGGTTGGCCCGGCCCGAATCCGGAACGAACCCGGCCCGGACCAACGGTCAAAAATTTTAAAAATTCAAAAATAAAAAAAAAATAAAAATTAAAAAAAAGACCGAACCCGGAAACCCGCCGGGTCGACCCATAACCCGGCGGGTTACCGGGTTCAACGGTAACAAATTCAAAAAAAAAAAAACGGAAATTTGTATACCGTC